TCTCTCTCTCTCTCTCTCTCTCTCTCGTCTCTCTCTCTCTCTCTCCCCCTCTCTCTCTCTCTCTCACTCTCTCTCTCTCTCTGTCTCTCTTTCTCTCTCTCTCTCTCCCGCTCTCTCTCTCTCTGTCTGTCTCTCTCTCTTTCTCTCTGTGTGTCTCTCTCTCTCTCTGTGTCTTTCTCTCTGTCTGTGTGTCTTTCTCTCTGTCTGTGTATTTTTCTCATTGTCTCTATCTCTGCCTCTCTCTCTCTCTGTCTCTGCCTCGCTTTCTGGCTCTCTCGCTGCCTCTCTCTCTCTGTCGGCCTCTCTTTCTCTATTTCTCTCTCGCTGTCTCTCTCTCAGTGTCTCTCCCTGTCTCTCTCTCTCACGCTTGTCTTTCTCTCTCTCTCTTTCTCTCTCTCCCACTCTCTCCCTCTTTTTTGTTCTCTCTCTGTCTATCTCTTTCACTCTCTCCTACTATCTCAAATTTTATTCTCTCTCGCGCTCTTTTCTCCACTTTCTCACTTTCCCTTCTCTGCTAACTCTTCAGATTCATTTTTGCATCTTACTCTCTCCCTACCTAGTTCTCTACTTCTATCTCTCGCCACTTTCTCTCTCCCCATGCCTCCCTTTCTCTATCCCCCTTTCTGTCTTAATCCACAACGCTTTCTCTCTGTTCCTCTCTCTGTCGTAATCCATCACTCCTTCTGCTTCTCTGTAAGTACCGTTTATTTCTCCGCATCTATTTCAATGTTCACTCAGTTATCTCCCCCTCCCAGCAATCTCGCCGCTATATTCTTCTTCTTTTTCTTCTTCTTCTTCTCCAATAGTACAACAACGACTTCCTTAACGTGAGAAACATAGAGGGCTCCAACGCGCTCCATCTGGCGGCAGGAATAGGAAACTATCACATTGTTGAGAAGCTCGTGCAACGTCATCGCGACCTTGTGAAGGACAGGAACAAACTAGGTACGCATGCGCGGACCCATAGACATGTGTGTGTGTGTGTGTGTGTGTGTGTGTGTGTGTGTGTGATGTGTGTGTGTGTGTGTGTGTGTGTGTGTGTGTGTGTGTGTGTGTGTGTGTGTGTGTGTGTGTGTGTGTGTGTGTGTGTGTGTGT